CACGGCCACACATCAATCTATACAAAACCAGTTTATCCTGGTGTCGCGTCGCATCATCTTTCCGCACATTTAACGTTCAGTTTATACTGGTTATGTAAAGCTCGATGCGTAGCCTTGTGTACAAGGACGTTTAAAAAAAAGGCAACGTCCTTGCTTATGTATAATTTTAATTTAATGGGAACCAATTTATAGATGCCGCTATAATTGTTTGTACTTATTTTTGTTGTTGGTACCCATTATTACCGACTAAAAAAAAGAAGTAGGTACTATTTTCGACTGACTGTTTTTTTTTTGTTTGTTCGCCGTTACTCCGCCATTTATGAACCGATTTCTAAAATTCTTGTTTTGTTTGAAAGGGTATACTCCCGAGATGGTCCCATTTTCTTGAGGTAGAGGATCTGACGATGGACTCCTAGGGAAACCAAGGGGAACTTTCTAAAGTTGTAGGGGCGAGTAATGCGTCTATTATATTATTATTCAATTAGTATTTATAAACACTACAATTTGATAAGGGTCTGGAGTCGACCTGATGATGGAGCCGACAGACAGTGAAGGGAACTCCTTAACGGTTTATATTAACTACATACCTTGGGTTTATGCTTGAAAAACTTGTATTGGTGAGAACTTTATACCTAGATAGAGTGAGACTGTCATTAAGGGTCTGATGATGAAAAAATGTAATTGTTAAGGGAACTCCTCATCGGTATACAGTAACTACCTTGTGTTTGGGCTTGTATAATTTGTACAGATTAGAACTTTTCACCTATTTGGATTATGAGTAGTAAAACGGATCTGCGGAACGGACTGCGTTTAAAAACCGACTTCAAAAAACCAAAAACTAATAAAAAAAGTAAAAACTAAAAAGCAAAAAATTACTATCATATGTACTGATAGGTTACCCACCCACAGATAGGTTAGAAGTCGGTGCCATAAGCTCATATCACAATGATCTAACTTAACGACCACAAAATTATAAATTATGAATCTATTAAGGTTTTAATGAATAATTTTGTATAGAACCTATGGCACCGACTTCTAACCTATTAGTGGGTAGGATGGGTAACCTATCAGTTCTAATAATAGTTTGTTATTATTGGTGTTGAGGTTGTTATGTAATTTACTTGCTTGAGGAAAATGTTACATTTGTTTAATGTGTTTAATGCTAATAATGATGCGACGATGTCAATGCCATGCATGACACAATAAAAAGACGAGTTCAATCGATGAAAACCTGTTACGACCTGTTTGTTTGATTTCGTTCATCAGAAAAGCTATTTTGGAAGGTCTGCATCCTATGGATCGCGCTGTCGAGCTCCTACACAAAACTGCGATGCGATGCGTATTCGCAACGTAGTCTTCTCGCTAAATTTTCTCTTACATTGAACCTTTATGACTTCTGTGACATGCCCTCGAGAAATGACACGGCTTCAAAACTATACCTTGTATAAGTGGACACTGCTGATAAAAGGCCTCTTCTCACACGAAATAGGTTTGAGCCTCACTGAGCTGGCTCAGTAGCAACGTTGACAATTTCAGGTTTCCTCACGATATTTTCCTTCACCGTTTGTCAGTGGTGTCTAATTAATGATAGAAATATAACTTATTTAAACTTTTAAAACGTAAACGAGCAGACGGATCACCTGATAGAAAGCAATCGCCGTCGCCCATGGACACCTGGAACACTAAGGCCGTTACAAGTGCGTTACCAGCCTTTTGGGAATTGGGAATTTGAGGATTGTGGAGGATTCAGGGATTCGGGAGACTGGGGAGGGGAGGTAATTGGGCCACCGGTAACCTCACTCACACGACGAAACACAACGTATGCGTTGCTTCACGTCGGTTTTCTGTGAGGCCGTGGTATCACTCCGGTCGAGCCGGCCCATTCGTGCCGAAGCATGGCTCTCCCACGCTTAAAAATTACGTTGGGAAAAGACATTGATACTTGTCATGCCAATGTCAAGTATGGTTTGGAAACCGAAGTCTCTTAGATGAGAAGCGGGCGTCTTAAACCTCCGCGCCACCACGACGAGGTGTGGAGTTCAGGGGGAAAATCATCCCATGACTTCTCCTGCATTGGGTTAGCTCTTACTGACTAAACACCATTCTATCCCTACTTCTGCTTTGAGCCGGAGCCCCTGTAACCTATCGCGGAGAACCTAACGGGTAACCGGGGCTCCGGCTCGACATGCAGGAGAAGGAACGGGGTGGTTTTCAGTCAGTAAGAGTCTGACACTCCCTCCCGCGTCACCCAGCCGGGAGCAGTCATTCGATGTTTTTCCCCCCTTAAAAAAAACCGGTTAGGTAGTCCGCAGCTCTGAGTATATTCTTGGAATCTGAGATGGATATTTTGTGACGAATTGGAAGTTTTAGATTAACTAGGTAATTATATTCTATATATGTATATGAGGCTGGATTTTCCAAGTCGCAAGAACGGAGGGAAATGTCGAAATGACAATTCTGCATCAGGCAACGCATTTGTTATTTTATGATTAAAAAACTTCGGACGATCAAGATCGCGTGGCCACCTACTTTTTGGAGTGAACAATAAAAGAAGTAATGTCCAACATATTTAGGTAAATTATTATGTTTTCAGCTGACTCACGTAATAATTTGACGAGGAACTCGACTAGTTTCAAGCCATGCTAGAGGCTCATATATATGAGCAGCATTTCGCGACCCGCGAAGCGGCGACTGTCGCGCTGCTACTGGCTACTTGAGTCTGCGGGCCCAGCGCGCCCTCTGCCGTGATTCACGCGCACTTTCCTCTACTCGTGGTATCGGCGAAGGCGGCGCGCGTGACACTGTTGCCACGCTAGACTCGCCCGCCGGTAGCTGCGTTGGTGTTGGGTTCGAATCCCGGGTCGACGCAAAAACAGTGTTACATACCGCGCTTTTTATAAAGGTCTCTGCACACGGCGGGCGTGGCGCGAATAACCGAAACTGAATGAAACAAGAAACTTGATTTAAAACAAAAAGATACCTACAAGTTTACGAACGGCTACTTATTATATTAGCTTACAAACTTACAAATAACTATCTTCAGCCAGCGGTTTGGCTTGCCATCAGACCACCACAGATGGGGCCCAATAGGGCTATTACCCATAGGAAGCCGCGGAAAACCTAACGGATTACCGGGGCTCCCGCTTGACGTGCAGGAGAAGGAACGGGGTGGTTTTAAGTCAGTAAGAGTATGACACTCCCTCCCGCCTCACCCAGGCGGAAGCAGTCATTCGATGACTTTCCCCCCTTAAAAAAAGGGTTAAAAAGTAGCCTATCTGTTATTCTAGACTATAATCTACCTCTGTTCCAAATTTTATCTCCTATCAGTACTTTTTGCACAGATACACACACACACACATACACACACACACAGACACACACACACAAACATGCTCTCAATCGCATTAACAATATTAGTAAAAATAAGGTTATTCTTATTTTTCACGAGAGAGCTATGCTTAGCACGAGTAGGTACGGCATCACAGGTAATCGTTATGAAGTGGAACATCACTCACTCTCCGGTAACAATCGGAGTTCCAATCAGTTTTAGTCATTAATAGTGTAGATTGCTAATTTTTATTTTAATGTCCTGGTAGATTATTTTAAAACATTACACACATATTTTTTCTTTTTTACAGAATGAATGAAAGAATACTTTCGACGAAATGTCGCGTTGACGACATTGATTTGAAATGTCGCGTAACGTCATTTCTATGTATATTTTATACGTAGAAATGACGTTTTAGCCCCCACTCCTAAACTTTGATTCGTTTTATTTAAGTATTGTATTATTATACAACAAAATAAAAAGATACGTGTCTAATATTTTTTCATTACCTAACTGACGGACTAGTTAGATTTTTAATTTTCATACCCTGTCATCATTCCTATTCCGACACTCTCTCACTTCTCTCAAGGCGGGAGAAAATATAGGTGATTTTATCCCTCAAAAAAAGTCGCAGAGAACCTAACGGGTAACCGGGGCTCCGGCTCGATGTGCAGGAGTAGGAACGGGGTGGTTTTTAGTCAGTAAGAGTCTGACACTCCCTCCCGCCTCACCCAGGCGGGAGAAGTCATTCGATGATTTTCGCCCCTTAAAAAAAAAATCTCTCAAAAAAATAACAATAGCGACGTCGCCAGGACGCGAGAATAGCCAGCAGTCCATTGGGTGACATAGGCAAATAATCACCAATCCCCATACACCCGCGGCGAGCTACCATGCATTTTTTTACATAACCTAACTTGACATCACGCCTTCTATCCCCGAAGCGGTACGCAGAGGTGCATATTACGGTACTTATCAAATTTTTAAGAAATAACATATAGTTAGTATGCTGTATGACTCTAATAAAACGTGACGCCACAATACACAATCTCATACAAAATTAATAGAAAACTGTCGTTTTTGACAGTTCGTAAAAAGTATTGAATTTGACTAGTTGGCAAGTAACCATAACTAATAAATGAACTTCCAAAGTGTACTTTCCGACAGTCGCACAAAGTATTGATAATTAAAACATAACATAACATAACATTACGCCGAAGGGATGGGCAGAGGTGCACATTATGCCACTGTACAATGTAATACCCACTTTTCACTATTTATGTTATGAGCCCCATGTAATAGGGGGTGAGCCTATTGCCATATACCGGACACAATTCCAGACTCTGTGCTACTACTGAGAAGATTTTTTTAAAAACCCAGTAATACTTTGCCCAACCCGGGAATCGAACCCGAGACCCCTTGCCAGGCAGTCGCACTTCCAACCACTCGGCCAACGAGGCAGTCATTTCAATTAATTGGAATTGTAATTATACTTTCATATATTATTAATAGAGATGTGCCGATCATGACTTTCGCCGACTAGCCGACTCGCCGATTAGTCGGTGGTAATAAGACCGATTAGTCGGCCGACTAAGCCAATTACGGTTGCGGGAATTCCCGTAACTCTTCGTTTACGGCTGATTCGCGTGCAATCGCATACGCCGCCTGCGAGTGTGTCGGAACATGTTTTGTGGTCATGTGTAATGGTCGGGAGCGGCGTTTTAAGGTAAAAAATATTTTTTTTTATGCATACCTAATTAAAGATAATATTGTTATTACTCATTGAAGTTAACAAGCAGAATTAATCTCGTGTATGGATGTTTTTTGAACGATTGTACAATGATTCACGTAAAGTTAAGCGTAATCAATGCCAAATGATAAATTTCTCGTAGTGGGCAAGGAAAAACATCTAACACTACATGCATAAACAACCACATTAAACTGTCAAACACCGCGAGGACACCCGGTGATCGCAATCTATTGTTCTTTAATTGTGTCTATAATGACGGTACTCAAAGGGTTAAATACAAATATCCATCCCTGATACCCCAGTTAGGTTCTACTATCAAATATTCGAGCACAGATGATTCCACCAAGTCTTAAATCTCAGCAGAAGAATTACCTAAAGCAGTGCCAATCTCGTCAACTTCAGTGTCATCAGAGGTCAGTTTATATCAGAAATGCCTACAAAATATTGAAGGCAGTTTAACTATACACTGGTCATGTGAAGACTCAAGATCAAGAGAAATCAATATTGCGATAGGTGAAATGATTGCATTTGACAACCAGCCATTGACAATTGTTGAAAATTTAGAAACCTGATGAATAAAGATCAGAAAACATTTTTCCTCAACTTTACAAATAGATTATAAAATAAAAAAATAATATATAGATAATCAAGGATTTTATTTCATGTAGTTCCCTCGCATGCATATTAGTTATTGAGAAATACATACAACGTAAGAAACCGGATAGTCGGCGCTCTTTGCCGATTAGTCCCCGACTAATCGATAACTACAATAGTGGCCGGATAATCGGCTTTGCCGACTAGTCGCCGACTAGTCGGGACATCTCTAATTATTAACATTATGTTAAAAATTTCAGCTATTTCATCGACACCGGGATCAATTATCAGACATTTGGGAATCACATCAATATGCGAGTAAGTATGTACAGAACTCTATTTATATAGCTACTAGCTTTAACCCGCGGCTTCGCTCGCGTCACATAAGAATAAAAAGTAGGCTATGTGACATATACCAATACTTTTGTTTTCCCTCGGGAATATCAAATTTTTCCGGGATAAAAACTACCCTATTATTTAATCCAGACTTCTATTCTCTATCTAATTGGGCCTCCGGTAAGCTCACTCACACGACGAAACACAACGCAAGCGTTGCTTCACGTCGGTTTTCTGTAAGGCCGTGGTATCACTCCGGTCGAGCCGGCCCATTCGTGCCGAAGCATGGCTCTCCCACACTTAAAAAATATTAAGAGATAACTAGGGTAACGATAAGTATTGGGCTTATACAGTCGCCAATTATACTTTACAATAAGTGATAGAAAATAACCATACAAACGAACAAGGAAAATAAAATTATAGTAACTGAAAAAAAAGAAACTACTTACTTACGAGATCAATATTCTCATGTTAAAAGAAAATAAAATGAAAGACTTTAAATTGAACTTTCTGCCTCGCAGCAAAACTGGAATGATCTGTCGTCGGCGGTATTTCCGAACCGATACGACCTTCAAATTTCCAAGAAAACAGCTCATTCCTTTGTTAAACACCGGCAACACCTGTGACTCCTCTGGTGTTCCGTGTGTCCATGCCCACTCAACGTCAGTAGACGTCGCGGCAGGCCCAAAAGGAGATGGTGGGACGAATTAGACATCTATGACAAGGGTCGGCCGCAAAAAGGATTATATAGAGAGAGAGGAGTGGAAGGAGGGTAGGGAGGCCTTTGTCCTGCACTGGGAAGATCATGGCTGAAAAAAAAATAGAACTTTAAAAACATTGGTTATAACAAAATTTAACATTTTTAATTTTAAACACATATCGTAAAAATGAAAATGTTAATAGAGTTGCAGTTTATGCATAATTTAATAGTAATAATATTAGACAATTATTAAGGCCATCCCTGTACATATTTTTTTCCATGAAGCCTTAAGTAAATAAATATTGTTTCAGCGAAAGTGATTTCCGATGTTCAAATGGTACGTGCATCAGTGCCGATTTAGTTTGCAATAACTTTCACGACTGCCCAGATGGCGCTGATGAAGAATTTTGCAACACTAAGTTGGAATCGTAAGTAATTATTATAATACAATATATCTTTGTATGTCGTGGTGGCGCGGAGGTTTAAGACGCCCGCTTCTCATGCATGAGGGTCCTAGTTCGAAACCTACCGAGACGGCAAGTACCAATATGATTTTTTCCGAGTAGTATACCTACTTTCTAAGATCAGTGGTATCTAAATAAGATACCACTGACAAATGGTGAAGGAAAACGTCGTGAGGAAACCTGGGCTTATATTTTCTAATTATAAGTTTGAAATCGCCAACTCGCATTGAGTAAGCGTTGTGATTAATGCTCAAACCTTCTCCGAGTGAGAAGAGAAGAGAAGAGAAGTGTGAAGAGAAGGCGTTTGGTCAGCACTGGGCGTTTATTGATGATGATAATTAATATTGTTTAGGGTTTTTAAAGTTAGGAATTTAGGGGTCTAGAGCTAAAATTCTCCCGTCTGCCTGTCTGTCTGTCTGTTATCCGGTTATTGCTCAGAAATTTTTACAGCTGAAAATTATATTTTGTTAGCTTGATACCGATATTAACTAGCAGAAGTTTGAAACAAAAATGTCATAAGTAGAAAAGGTACACTATAGTCCATGAAAGGACGGTCCTGAGAGTACGACGCGCACCTCAAAGAGTCATGAGACCACCACAGATAGGGCCCAGTAGAGCTAATTAATACCCCTGATCCGAAGCCGCAGAAGACTAACCGGGTTTTTTTTGGAATAAGAGGCAAACGAGCAGACGGATCACCTGATGGTAAGCGATCAGAGCCGCCCATGGACACACGCAACACCAGAGGAGTCACAGGTGCGTTGACAACCTTTTAATAAAGAATACGCTCTTTTCTTGAAGGTTTGAAGTTCGTATCGATTCGGAAATACCGCCGACGACAGATCATTCCAGTTTTGTTGCGAGGCAGAAAGCTACGCGAGAAGCGCACAGTTGTGGCCTTCACACCATCTACTATATGGTGGGGATGCATATGCTGTCATGAGGGTCGATGGTGAAAAGATGCGGCAGGTATCAGGTCAAATAATTCCTCAGAGCACGCCCCATGGTATAAGCGATAGAAAATGCACAACGAAGCTACATCTCTACTCTACGCATTGCCAAAGTGTCTAGGTTTAAAACATCCTGACATCCAACAATCCGAACGGCACGCCTCTGAACGCGGTCCAGAGGAAGAAGCTGGTACTGGGGTGCCGTGGCTCCGGCTTACAGCAGTAGGATCGGGGTGGTGTTAAGTCAGTAAGAGTCTGACACTTCCTGTCGTTTCATCCATCATCATCATCATCAACAGCCTATAAATGCCCACTGCTGAGCAAAGCCTGTTCTCACACGGAGAAGGGTCGAGCATTAATCACTACGCTTGCTCAATGCGGGTTGGCGATTTCAAACTTATAATTCCAGGTTTCCTGACGATGTTTCTCCTTCACCGTTTGTCAGTGGTGTCTAAATAATCTTAGAAAGTACATATAACTCGGAAAAAGTCACATTGGTACTTGCCGTTAGTAGGTTTCGAACCAGCATCCTCATGCATGAGAAGTGGGCGTCTTAAACCTCCGGGCCACCACGACGTCGTTTCATCCATGTGAAGGAAAATATAGGTGACTTTCACCCCTAAAAAGGTAGTGGACGGTCACCGGTTAATGGTTTTGATATTAGATTTCAAAAGTGTTTTTGTTTGTTTCAGATACGAGATGGCAGTCAAAGCTCGCCTAAGGCCGAAGAGACAAATAGGGTGTCGGTAAGTACCGTATATCTTATCTTGCTAATATTATAAACTACTTCCGCTCTGCTATGGCACCTAATGATCGCAGCGTGATGTTTTATATCTATAACACAAAAAAGATTTTTTCAAATCGGACCAGCATTTCCGAGATTTGCGCGAGCCTTATTGGGTATCAGCATCTGTGGTAGTCTGATGGCTACGCTCGGTTCTGGTTTTGGTCGGGCGGCGAGCCACCCATGCTCGCCGTCCGCAGGCCCGCGCTTACGGTGGCCGGAGATCGCGATCCCCGACGCCCGGAGTGTCCTTCGGACTCCTTCGCCATGTCTGGGTTGCGAGGAGGTAGCGCTTCGCTGCCTTAAGCGCCGCGCCTCCTCGTTAGCTAGCATGACTGCTTATGCTTAAAGTGCATACAATGTATAACAGTCCCTTTTCTGATTCTTCTGTTTTAATTTTTTAACTTTTTGTTTTTCTTACTTCCACCGTCACACCTGACTGCCTAGTTGGTCGAGTGGTCGCAAGTGCGACTCGGCAAGGGGCCTCGGGTTCGATTCCCAGACCGCCCTACGCTCAGACAAAGTATTACTGTGTTTTTTAAAAATTGTCAGTAGTAGTACAGAGTTTGGAATTGTGGATTGTGGACTGGAGTATATGGCAATAGGCTCACCCTCTATCTATTACATGGGACTCATAACATATATAGTGAAAACTGGGTGTTACATTGTACAGTGGCATTGAGTGCCGTAAATGTGTACCTCTGCCTACCCTTTCGGGGATAAAAGGCTTAATGTTATGTTACTGTAACACCTGTATTGTCTTTTTTATATTTTACTTATGCTGCATCGTGCCTGGTGCTGAATGTTTTTTTTTATTTTTCTAGTAAAACGGAGTTCCAGTGTTTGGACCAATCCTGCATACCTGGCCATGAGAAGTGCGACGGGAAATATAATTGTAAAGACAAGAGTGATGAAACTCATGCACTGTGCAGGAATATTAAGTAAGTGAATTTTTATTGATATTCGTAGGTACTAGACTGCCTCGTTGGCCGAATGGTCGCAATATGGTCGAAATAAATCAGAAGATATTATTAGAGAAATTAATAAATTCTTATTCTTCATTTAGTCGTGGTGGCCCGGAGGTTTAAGACGCCCTCTTCTCATGCATGAGAGTGCGGGATCGAAACCTACCAACGGCAAGAACCAATGTGACTTTTTCCGAGTTATATGTACTTTCTAAGATTATTTAGACACCACTGACAATCGGTGAAGGATAGCATCGTGAGGAAACCTGGACTTATAACTTTCAATTATGAGTCTGTCATCGCCAACCCGCATTGAGCAAGCGTGTAGATTAATGCTCAAACCTTCTCCGTGTGAGAAGAGGCTTTGCTCAGCAGTGGGCATTTATAGGCTGTTGATGATGTTAATAGTGATGAAATAATACATTTTTCGTCTTGTCTGTTATAGATGTCGTTCAAACCTGTTCACTTGTATGTATGGGGCCTGTGTTGATGGAGACGCTGCATGCAACGGCGTCGTTGACTGCGTAGACCGATCAGACGAACTCCTTCCTAAATGCGGGAACAAAACGAGAATTCATAAGTAAGTCTATACCTTCTAAGTTTTATACCGAATGGAGCAAACCCCCGATTACCTCAATGTCCTCAATAATCCCCAAAAGGCCGGTAACGCGCTTGTAAAGCCTCTGGTGTTTCGTGTGTCCATGGCCGACGCCGATTGCTTACCATCAGGTGATCTGTCAGCTCGTTCACCGGCTTATCCCATAAATAAATATTACCCCTACCACGGCACAATCTTGCCTTGTGACGGGTATTATACAAGTGTGACTGCCTCGTTAGCCGAGTCGCCGGGGGTCTCGGGTTCGACTCCCGGCTCGGGCAAAGTATTACTGGTTTTTTTTTTTAATTCTCTGTAATAGCACGGAGTCTGGAATTGTGCCCGGTATATGACAATAGGCTCACCCCCTATTACATGGGACTCATAACATAAATAGAGAAAAGTGGGTGTTACATTGTACAGTGGCATAATTTACACGTCGGCCTAACGACAAAGGGCGAGAATATGTCATAGAAAGAATCGTTTAATATTCAGTAATGTAGGGATCGATCTCAAAAGTGAAACGCCGTATTATCAAAATCACGCTTTATTAACTTTAACTATGTTTCGATATTACAATTATGTCGACACAAGTATGCCTCCACTCTTCGACCGCTGACACGGTAATGAATCCTCGATCAACGACGTCGTGCCACCCCCCCCATGCGTCCTTACGGCGAGGACGCCACTGGGGCTCAAATAACCGTACTCATGACTTATTTCCTTTTACAGCTGTAATTATTATAGCTAAACTAGCAGCTCGTCCCGGCTTCGCACGGGGTAGACAATTATTTATTTTTGGAAATTTGGATTGTTGTAGTGACATAACTACAATAGTTGGACATATGCTACCGCGGAGTTTTTTGTAGACATTATGATGTTCTTCAATATTGTTGTACATTATTTTGTTCTATCGCTAATAGTTTCGGCAGCGCATTCGACGAAAGACATTTTAAGACTCATTTTTCTACACCTTCGGTTACATTGTTCAAATTTTACCAAGGATCCCTAATTTTTTTCAAAATCAAACGTAGCCTATGTCAAATTGGAAGAATGTAGCATTCTATTGGTGAAAGAATTTTTTAAATCAGCCCAGTACTTTTTGAGCCTATTCATTACAAACATACTAAAATAGGTAGAAATCTTTCCTCTTTATAATATTAGTACAGATTACCAAATATTAAAGGTTTGCTATATTATAATAGTTGATACAATATCCGATACTTAATAAAGTACTGTTGCATGTTACAGAGTACTGGAAACATAATTATGATATCTAATTAATAAGCTAACAGTAATAATATTGTCGTGCAGAGGTCAATTCACATGTTCGGACGGAACCAAGATTCCTTCTTCAGAACTCTGCGATGGAGCCGTAAATTGTCCAGATATGTCTGACGAGGTGATTGAATCTTGCGCCGGCGTGCGGTGCCCGAAACACGTCTTCCAATGCGCATACGGCGCCTGCGTCGATCGGGATTCAGATTGTAATGGAGTGAGTGGGGCTTTTTGATGATTATTTATTCGATATTTGCTAGCTACGCACGCGACTTTGTCCGCGGGGAATAGTCACTTTGGATAGTTCAAATATTTTTATTTTTGTAATTAGAATGTTTTAGAATTTTTGTCTGTATGTATGTCCGGGCTAAACTCAAAAAGGTCAACATAGGCTATATTTTATTATGGCCGAGTGGTCGCAAGTGCGACAGTCGGGCAAGGGGTCTGGGGTTTGATTCTCGAGTCAGGCAAAGTATTACTGGGTTTAAAAAAAATCTTAGTATAGTAGCACGGAGTCTGGAATTGTGCCCGGTATATGGCAATAGACTCACCCCCTATTACATGGGACTCATAACGGGTGTTACTTCTGTGTGCACCTCTGCCTACCCCTTCGGGGATAAAAGGCGTGATGATTATAAGGTTATATTATATTTATTATGCTATCACCTACGGGAAGGAGCTGTGAATCACTATTCCACGCAGACAAAGTCGCGGGCACAGCTAGTATTAAATAATATAATCATATCAAGTTTGCAGCCCAGCCGTCGCAGCCGTGCCGCCAAAGTCAATATATACTAGCGACCCGCCCCGGCTTCGCACGGGTGCAATATGCATGTATTATTATACAGATAAACCTTCCTTAAGAATCACTCTATCTATTAAAAAACCGTATCAAAATCCGTTGCGTAGTTTTAAAGATCTAAGCATACATAGGGACAGACAGACGGCGGATAGCGACTTTGTTTTATACTATGTAGTGATTTGTCTTTGTATTACAGGTAAAGGAATGTGCAGATGGTTCGGATGAACACGAAGAACTATGTTATACCCCAGCGAACACCATCCCTGATATCACCTCCAGATTTAATCTCGCCAAAAAGTATGTACTTACAAAAAATATACTGACTTTTTCCTAACAGAGACATTGTAATAATAGGCTCACCCCCTATTACATGGGACTCATAACATAAATAGTGAAAAGTGGGTGTTACTCAAGTGTGCACCTCTGCCTACCCCTTCGGGGAGTCGCGGAGAACCTAACGGGTAACCGGGGCTCCGGCTCGACGTGCAGGAGAAGGAACGGGGTGGTTTTTAGTCAGTTAGAGTCTGACACTCCCTCCCGCCACGCCTAGGCGGGAGCAGTCATTCGATGATTTTCGCCCTTAAAAAAAAAAAAACAAAAGCCCTTCGGGGAAGGCTTGATGTTATGTTATGTAGAATATGTATAATATGTAGGGTTTGTCACACAGTAATAACTTGTTGTTTTTCGTGATTTTTAAGATAAATAGTAAATAAAAAATAAAAAGTAAATATTTCTTATTATTAAACATGGTAACCGATGCCATGACTTGTACAGTTTTTGTTTTGGTTTATATTTCTGTTCGGAACCACTGCACAAGGCAGCATTTTATCGTTTGTTGTACGATCGCGGGTGACAACAGACTAACTCGCGGTGACGGCCATATTTTCTTACATTGAGCGGAACGCTCAATTGCGAGCGTCACCGACACGCCCTCTTGCCACTTCTCCTTTTTTAATATTTCTGTGGTTTGTCATATGTCGTGGCGACCCGGAGGCTTAAGACGCCCGCTTCTCACGCATGAGGGTCCAGGTTTCCTCACGATGTTTCCCTTCACCGTTCGTTAGTGGTGTCTAAATAATCTTAGAATGTATGTACATATAACTCGGAAAAAGTCACATTGGTACTTGCCGTTGGTAGGTTTCGAGCCCTCATCCTCATGCATGAGAAGCGGGCGTCTTAAACCTCCGGGCAACCACGACTATCTTATTATTATGTGTTTTAAATTTATGTCCGATCTTTATGATTTTTTTTAACGTCACCCCACATTTAGATTTTCTCCTGTGACGTGGGTGCGTTTACAAACATACAAGTTCACATATACATGACACCCAGACCCGGAACAACAATCTGTGGATCACACAAAGAGTTGTTCCGTGCGGGAATCAACCGGCGACACCAGCCACCACGCCAACCGAAATTATTATAAAGCTGTGTATTGTTTTGAATTGTTTGTTCGTCTTCAGATGCAAATTGCCGCCTCGACCTGATCATGGAACATACGAGGTGATCGAATTACCATCGTCTGCACTCCTTACCATAACTTGTAACCCTGGCTACGCCGTGGTTGGCGACAACAAAGTCTATTGTAATGATGGAAACTGGTCGGTAAATGAGACTAAATCTCTTTGTGTTCGTAAGTACCTAAAGTTACTTGTATTATAAATACGAAATTTTTGTCAGCCATTTATTTCTCAACGGCTGAAGGAATCGGGGTGAAATTTGGAACATTGTAGATTATTATATTTTTTTTTATTTTCAAAAGTTATGTCATGTCTCTTAAAAGCTCTACTAGTTTCCAACCACAGAGGGGTTCTTCCTCATGAGGTAGGCGTAGGGTATTCTGCGCGATATCGTCGCGACCGCGCACGCTGCTCATGAGGAAGAACCCCTCTGTGGTTCGAAACTATAAGAGCTTTTCTCAGTATATTCACTTGAGTAACCCGCGATTTTTAGTTAATTAAGAAACCTCTTCCGATATATACTCCATCTGGTGAGTTAAAAAGCGGTAGCTCCCATTGGTGCAAGCGTGAGTAGGTATGGCGTACAGTTTCATTGACAGAGGTCTTATTTTTATAATAACCATCGTGAGACATACTAAATTTAGGTTTGGTGACCGCGCACGCTGCTCATAAGGAAGAACCTATCTGTGTTTCGAAACTAGTAGAGCTTTTCTCAGTATAATCACGTGAGTAACCCGCGATTTTTAGTTAATTTAGAGGTCTTATTGTTACCATATTGCTCCCACAGGACATTGTACGTTAAATAGCCACCCATCAGTGAATTACCGCTGTATATTGAGTGGACATAGTGTGGGTACTCGTACCTGTAACAACAAAGAACCTGTAGGAACCAGAGTCGAAGCGCAATGTAAACCCAACTACTTTTCTAGAGGTACTTTCCTCATCATGAGTTGCAATGATGACGATAGAGGATGGAACCATATAGTTACATGTGTCCCAGGTATGTCAAATGCATCTTTATGATCATCATTATCATCATCATAATTGCTATCCAAAGGCCTCCTTTCAAACGGAGAAGGCTTGAGCATTACTCACCACGCTTGCTCAATGCGGGTCGAAGATATCAAACGTATAGTTAACAAATTATTAGCCCAGGTTTTTTTATGGAACTGGAGGCAAAAGGGGCAGACGGATCACCTGATGGTAAGCGATCAGCGCCGCCAATGGACACCCACAACACCAGAGGAGTCACAGGTGCGTTGCCAACCTTTTAAAAAGGAATACGGTCTTTTCTTGAAAGTTTGAAGGTCGTATCGGTTCGGAAATACCGCCGACGACAGATCATTCTACAGTTTTGCTGTGCGAGGCAGAAAGTATCGTGCACAGTTGTGGCCTGCCAACCATCTATATGGTGGGGATGCATATTCTGTCGTGAGAGTCGATGGCGAAAATATGCGGCAGGTATCAGGTCAAACAATTCCTCAGAGCACACCCCGTGGTATAAGCGATAGAAAATGCACAACGAGGCTACATCTCTACGCATTGCCAAAGGGTCTAGCCGGTTTTCTCACGATGCATGTTTTAACACAGCATAACATATGACTTGGAGAAAGTCACATTGATACTCACACACTCAGGCATGAGAAGCAGGCGTATTGAACGTCCGGGCCACCACGACAAGCACTCAATTATTTATCAAGTCCAAGTTTGAGTTTTGACCCACATCCCAATTTTGTCACTGTCTCAGTTCTCAGATCACTGCCTCCAGGCTTCTATTCCCTCCACTTCATACCCACCTTTATAACAATACATAACAGTATTTCTCAAGTTTTGTTTCCTCTTCGTAATCCTACTTTTTTTTAAGAAAACCGTCATATGGTAATTTTTGGGAAGCAACACTAGGGACGGTGTAATTCGTATCTCTTTAAAACACCTCGGTGACCACCATTAGCTCGGGGCCTCTACTATGGAACGACTATTACGTTAATTTGTATTTGGAATAGAAGCAAATGTGCCAAAAATTCAACTGGAGGTATTAACCAATCAGCGCCGCCCATTGATGGTGTGAGAGTCACAGGGCGTTTGCGGTTATAAAAAAGAAAATGGGTCACCTGATGGTAAGCAATCGGCGTCGTCCATGGACACCTGCAACACCAGAGGTGTTACAAGTGCGTTACTTACTGGCCGTTTAGGGATTAGGAGTTTGAAGATCGTTGAGGATTCAGGGATTGGGGAGATTGGGGACGGGACGGGGAGTTGATAATTAGTCCTAATGGATATTTGCTTTCCAGAATGTGGTCGTTTAACTCCGAAGGGAAGCAGTTTGTCTATAGGAGGACGGAATGCCCTCCGTGGAGAAATATCTTGGCATGCCGGAGTCTACAGGAAAAACGTTTCGGACTACATGCAAATCTGTGGAGGATCGATAATATCCGCGAAACATATAATCACAGGTATGTTAATTATAATAACTAGTATTTTTAGTATTAAAAAATAAATAAAAAAAAAACCGGTTAATAATAATCTCATTGTTGATTTTTTCATCACCATTAACAGCATTTAAATGCCCACTGCTAAGAGCTGGATGTTTAAGAGGCCGCTTCTCATGCATGAGGGTCCAGGTTTCCTCACGATGTTTTCCTTCACCGTTTCTCAGTGGCGTCTAACTGATCTTAGGCGCTGTCTCCACGAGCGAGAGAATCGCGGCGATATTATCGCCGTCGCACGTTTTTCTATACTCTCTCTATGGAACCGTCTCCGCACGGCGATATTATCGCCGCGATGCGACGAGTGGCAACGAGCGCGCAAGACGTCATTACATCGTCGCTAGCCCGCCGCATCCCCTATACTTATTATACTCTTTGGCCCGCCGCGACTAGCAACGCGACCGCCGCGCGCTCGCGGCGCTTTCGCGGCGAGCACGCAGCGGGCGCGCTGTCAAACGCAGTGTCATTTCAGCATTGCCTCTCATTAAGCAAAGACACTATTTATTTCGCTCTCGTCTGGAACGTAACTGAATTCCATATTTCGCATTGTGACGTCAAGGAAACGCGGTGATACCGTTACGAGTCCCCGCAGAATCGCCGCGATACCGTAACAACTCGCGACGATACGCAGCGGAATTATCGCTCGTTTGTGGAGATTATCCGATGGTATAAGGGCGGACTCGCCGCGATTCTCTCGCTCGTGGAGACAGCGCCTTAGGAAGTATATATAACTCGGAAAAAGTCACATTGGTACTTGCTGTTGGTAGGTTTCGCACGCGCACCCTCATGCATGAGAAGCGGGCGTCTTAAACCTCCGAGCCACCATGACACGTCGATTTTTTAGATATTGTAGTTATAATACGAGAAATTATATTATTGCAGCCGCGCATTGTTTCTGGGATAAGACGACAAAAAAATTCGAAAGACATGATTTGTTTGCGGTCGCCGTCGGCAAATATTATAGAAGTTGGGACAACGTAAAGGATACAGAGGCGCAGAAATTTGATGTAAGTTCAATTATGGTGAAAGGAAATTAAACTGTTAAGCTCTAAACAGAGGAATTGCAATACAACTGCTAATTGCAGTTTGAACGCAATTGACACGACTGAAATCGTTACTGCTCGTTTGGTTTGCAACTGTTTGATCATGCCAGCATTTTTTTTATGGAATAAGAGGCAAACGAGCACACGGATTACCGCCGGTAAGCGATAAGCGCCTATGGACACCAGAGGAGTCACAGGTGCGTTGCCGGCCTTTAAAAAGGAATACGGTCTTTTCTTGAAGGCATGCAATGCTTTTCTTCATGTAATAGAAGTGCAATCGAACTGTAATTTTCGGTTGGATTGCAGTAAAGCTCAAATTCGAACCGTCTGCCAAGAGCCTAATAGTTTAAATATCTTTGCTCCCAAGGCATGTTATTTATGCATGTATGTGAAGTGGAATCTTGCAGCTGAAAGTTGGTATCTTCAACCATTGAGCTGAAATTTTGTATACACGTTTAGTTTGCATGACCATAAATGCTAAATTAACTAAAACTCGCGGGTCACTCACGTGAAGATACTGAGAAAAGCTCTAATAGTTACGAACCACAGAGGGGTTCTTCCTCATGTCTACGTCACTACAACATCGCCGCGAACGCTGCTCATGAGGAAGAACAGGGGTTCTTCACAACACAAACCACACCACAGAGGGCTGTGGTGTGGTTATTGCCGGCTGGCTGAGCCGCGGCGATGTCACGCAGCCTAGCTAGCGTTGGCGATCGCCTCAGTGTTGCTAATTGCGCATCTAGCCTAAAGCGCCCTCTGCCGGACACCACGAGCGTTTGCTTCCAACTCCGGCAGCGGTGCGCCGTTTCATGCATTCACGTGAGTAAGCCGCGATTTTTGGTTAATTTGCTCCAACAAAAAGAGAAGGATTGCCCTCACCCAAAATATTAAATCTACTGCCTAAAATACTAACTTTCCGACTACTTTTCTCCGAATAAAATTGACGATACGACCGAATGAGATAGTGAAATCTTCGAAAAATTAACATGACTGTTTATTGCTTTCCGGACACCTAAATCGAGCCACCTTGATTTGGTGGTTTGGGGGTTTGGTTTGGAGTACTGTAACTTGTAAAAAATCTATGTAGAAGGAAAATGTTTTGATGCACTTTTGGAGCTGGTTTAATCAACATTCATTAGAGTGCCACTGTTCTAAATTTGAACTACAGTTTATTAAAAAAGTCGAGTTACGTTGAAACAAGTCCATATTTGCTTTTTTCAAAGAAAAAAATCTAATCGATTTTTAAATAAAAAAATGTTTTAAATGAAAAGAAATGTTTATTTAGTAACTTGTATTGCCTCCCCGTGCATTTATGACAGCTCGCATACGGTTTGGCATAGAATTGATCAATGTCGTTATGACAGTTGAGGAATGTCCTCCCATTCTTCCAAAATTACATTTTTGAGCTCCTCCGTGGTTTGCGGGGCAGGATGATGAGCTCGACCACGCCTCTTCAGCTCATCCCATAAATGCTCTATAGGATTCATATCAGGACTTCGCGCTGGCCATTTCATAACAGTGATACCAATGTCCCTTATGGGCAGTATGGGCCCTTGCATTATCATGCATTAAAACGAAATCTTGGCCAATAAATCCAGCATATGGCATCACGTGGTTCTGTAAACATTGGCGAATGTATCTATTGCCATCTAGAGGTAGGGGCGGCAGTCGTGGTCCCGTTACTACCTCTAGCTCAGTTTTGCCTTCCATAGAGATTCCTCCCCAGACAGTCCATGATCCTCCACCATAACTCACTCTTTCGTCAATACAACATTGCGCGAAACGCTCGTTCTCTCTTCGGTACACCTTACTCCTTCCGTCATTACCGTATAGCATTATCTTGGACTCATCTGTGAAGAGAACCTGGCTCCATTGATGTCGAGTCCAATTTAGATGTTCGCGCGCAAACTCTAAACGGGCTTTGCAGTGTGCTCGTGTCAATTTAGGTCCATTGGCTGGCTTATAGGGCTTTAAACCACGTTCATTGAGTCGCCTTCTAACGGTCCGAGCACTTACAGCCACTCCGTGAAAGTCCCTGAGCTGTTCTTGTATTTGAACAGAGGTAAGGCGTCGATTGCGTAAGCTGGTAGTGACAATGTATTGATCTTGTCTCGCCGTTGTCACCCGGTAATGAGGTCCTCCTGTTCGCCGAACGAAGCCGCCAGTCTCCAGGTATCGATGGTACACTCTTTGGAGAGCGGAACGACTTATGAGAAGTTGTGAACTCACATCTCGCTGACTTAGCCCAGATTGAAGAAGTGCTACAGCTTGCGCGGCTACTTTAGGTGAAGTATCCATAATTTTATAGCCAAAAGCGAAAAAAACTAAACTAAACTTTGGTTAACAAAAATAGCGAAAATTCAAACAAAATCGAAATTAAATTGCTTCAAAAGTAACTTTCTACAGCCATAATTTTTTCAAATCAGTGGCCAAGCTCGGCTTTTGTTCTTTATTTTAAAATCTTAAATTCAAATTTGGAAGAATACATACGGGAAAGACGATGAAATATGCCAGCATTAAAAATGCATAAAAACTTTTTTGTTATATTGCATATATTTTGTGTAATGGGCTTTTAGGCCCGGGAATGTAATGTGGCTCGATTCAAGTGTCCGGAAGTGTATAATACTAACCTAACCTAAAACGTCTGTTGTCGGTAACTTAGTAATTTTGTCGGAGGTTCAATATTCTATTCGGAAGTTTAGTTTTGTTATTCGAAGATCCATTTTTATATAGCCACAGATCGCTGGAGATTAATTTGTTTTTCGGAACCATTATTAAACACATTAAGTAGGTACTTATTTATTAATTAATTTCAGGTAGAGTTAATCTCTGCACCGGAGCTGTATGAAGGTAGCTTGGGCAATGACGATAGGGATATAGCATTAGTGAAATTGAAGACTTCGATAATGTTCACAAAGTATGTGATGCCTATATGTCTCGATTTCGGCGAAGATTTTCTAGAAAAACAATTGCAACCCAATAACAGAGGAAGAGTAAGTTTTATTTCATTTTTTTACTAGCATCTGCCCGCGGCTTTGCCCCCGTTTCCGTGGGACTTGTGTTATTAGTACATAACATTATATAACATCACGCCTTTTATCCCCGAAGAGGGGCATTATGCCTGTTCAATCGTCAACCTTACTTTAAATTACTTCTAGTACATTTAGTTCCAATTTTGAATCTAGATGGCGTTGTCAGTTAAAGGCCATCTTCTGAATCGCGGTGTCAAGATTCTCCGTCGATTAATGACGCTCGGTGAATTTTATAAATATGATTAGTTAGTTCAATGAAGTCAACAGTTCATAAGATCATAAGAAGATTATTAATGTTAGTGACAATACGTATACGGTATAAGAATAAGAATAAGAATAAGAATAATTTATTTGTGTGTACTCCACTTACAATGTTTTTTTTTTTTAATTACTATATTAAAATAAAATTATGCTAGACTATTAACTAGATAATAATAATACATTATTTTGCTTAAAACTATGGACAGAAAAATAATAGGACTAATACTAATATTTGTCGCGATTTGCTTGAACTAGGTTTATGCAACCTGTGTTTCAAGTCATCACTTTATTACTATTCATGTTAAATCTATACAGGTTTGTATTATCACCTACTTAAATAAAATTTAGAAATTATAAAACAAATTAATCTATGTATGTGACCTACTTAAAGTAATTGACCTTAAACACTAATTAACTACGTCAGTACATCTAAAAGTTTTTCTGTGTCATTATAATTTAATTTCAGCAAGTACTCCGTTATTATGTTACAACATTTCTTATGACTAAGGCTGTATACATTACAAGATTTATTTATCTTATTGTACAAAAACGGTCCGAGAAACATATAAAATCTAGTGCAATAGGCATGTTTAGTTTGTCTAGTTTGGCAGACCAGATTATTCCTTTTCTTTACCAAAATTTCACGGTCATAGGTGAGATCCGAATGTTGAAAAAGAACGATGTTTAATATACTTAATTGCCGTACTGTAAGAACCTTACAGGCCTTGTAAAGTTCTTGAGTAGAAAATCTAAAAGGGCGAAATGTCGCAACCTTGAGGATGGCCCTCTGAGCACGTTCTAGTGGAAGCATTATTGTTTTAGCGGCACCTCCCCATGATGTTATGCAATATGTTAGTATTGATTGGCACAAAGCTAAATAGACTTGTTTAATTAATACATAGTCAGCTATATTGCGTAAATTTTTAAATACGTACATTAATTTACGTACTCTTGTGCATAATAAATCTATATGTTTGCGAAAATTTAAATTTGCGTCAAGCGTAACACCGAGGTATTTAATAAAATCAGTTTTGATAAGCGCGGGACAGGTACATGCTGAGTCACCAAGAGTAGTACATTTGTGTGCATAAATATTTACATTAGTCATATGTGGGTTATGGTTTCTCATTGTGAACATGATATATTTCGTTTTATCTGCATTTAGTGTTAATAAATTTTTAGAAAGCCAAATAGTTACAGCAGTGAATCCTTTTTGAGCGTGTATGTAGAGCTCTTCCCGTGTATTAGCGGAGAATACAAGAGCTGTATCATCCGCATAGGACATTACAATGCCGTTTTTAATTGATAATTCACATAAGTCATTTATATAAATTAGGAATAGTGTAGGTCCCAATATACTTCCTTGTGGTATTCCGTAAGAACTATTTTTAACTTCTTTACTTATGTATTGGTCAATCTTTACAGACTGGTAACGGTCGGACAGATACTCAGAGAAAAGAAGTAACTGCTTTCCTCTGATCCCAAGTGACTCAAGTTTCCGCAATAGTATGGAGAAAGAAATTGTGTCGAATGCCTTGGCGAGGTCCAAGAAGATACCCATAGTGTACATGCCATTGTCCAGATTAGTGGTAATATAGTTAGTAAGTCCATGCACCGCTTGGTTAGTTGATCTCTTTGGTCTAAAGCCAAACTGGTTGTCAGAAAGCAATTTCCTTCCCTCAAGATATTTTACCAGTCTGTTATTAATAATTTTTTCTAAAATCTTTGAGAGACCAGTTAGTATTGAAATGGGTCTATAATTAATGACATTGGTTTTGTCTCCCGATTTGAAAACTGGTGTAATCATTGATTTTTTGAGTGATTTCGGAAAAGTGCTAGTTGATAGACATAGCTGAAATATGTATGTTAATGGACCCACAAATATGTATTTATATTTTTTTAGTATGTAATTAGGAATACCGTCCCAGCCGACTGCACAAACATCCTTTAAACCGGTTATTATTGTTAGTATTTCATCCTCATCAGTGTCTAGCAACACGAAAGAATCACATGTAGTTGATAGTGATGTAGAAGTCAAGTCGTAGGTAGAAGAGTTTCTGTACTGTAGGGTACTTTCGGCCAAGTTTTTACCGACATTTGCAAAGTAATTATTGATATTATTCAATGCTTTAGAAGGGTCTGACTCAGTCGATAGTAGGTCAAGTGAAGGGTCAGTATTTATTGGTCTAAAAGTATTTGTTTTTATAAATTTCCAAATGAGTTTACTGTTATTGCCTGCCTTCTGTAACTCACTTTTATCGTATTGAATTTTTACCTTTTTTATTAAATTATTGCAAAAATTCCTATATCTTTTATATGTCATCAGCAGAATCTTATTTTCTGGTGCTAATTTTGATTTACGATGAAGCATGTCTCTGTTACGAATACATCTAACCAGACCCGGTGTTATCCACGGCTTGATGTTGTAGTACTTCTGTGGAATTTTTACTGTGTATGTATTTTTATTTATTACGTGCTGTACTAAGCATATAAAATTATTTAATGAAATATTTGCATCGTTTGCATTGTAAACAGGGTCAAAATTAATATTGTTAACGTCATGGTCTAGTCTTGTCATGTCGATTTTAGAATGACTGCGGATGCAATTTTTTCTGGGTAATGAAATTTGAAGTGCAAGTAATACTGCTTGGTGATCTGTTACGGAAGAATTAGTCACTATTGTTTTTGCTCGTTTATTGGTTTTGATGATGATATGATCGAGACACGAACCGCTTTGATGAGTGGGATGAGTGTGAGCTGGTAGAAGTCCATAAAAAGAACAAATGTTAAGATAATTATGAGCATGCATGTCGGTTTTCCCGGATGAAATGTTAATATTTATGTCCCCTATAAGTATGATGGTTTTATATGAAGCCACTTTCTTTAGATTCGTGTCAAGTGAGTCTATAAATTTATCTATATTTTGAGAGGGAGGTCTATATATAGCAATAATTACTATATCAGGATTTATAGTAATTAATAAACAGTTAGTATCTGCAAACTGTGGTTCTGTAATGCTTACATTTAAATTATTTTTTACATAAACTACTAGGCCATCATTCTGATTAATAATTCTATTCGTTCTATGAGAGCTGTATCCTGTAAGAGTTGGTAAAACAGTCGTGGAATTTGTCAACCAGCACTCTGTTAAAATAATAATATCACAACTAACATCGATATTTTGCAGTAATACCTGGAAATCCAGCATATTTTTATTTATGCTGCGGATATTTTGCGTGAGTAATGTTAATGCTTTTTTCCCAGTGTTAATTAAGTTTTTGCACTCATCAACATTACAAATACAAGTCTCTGATACAGAAAAACAATCTAAGTCACCAATAAGTTGGTTTGTCATGTTAAAATATTAACTAAGATGCGTATAAAATATGTGCTAACTAAGTTAAACTAATTACTGACGCTCTTAGGCGCCTTCATAATCTATGGTGTTAATATAGTAGTCCTCAGCAAATTTCCGGGCGGGACAACTTACGTCACCAGTCGAGTGGTCGCTTTTTCTTTTGAAACGTTTACATGTCGCGCATTTTGGAGGTGCAGCTTTGTTGCTGCATTCCTTGAAGGAGTGACCAGAGTCACCGCAGAGGTGGCAGGTAGGGCTCGTTTCACGGCAGTACTTTGCTGCATGTCCAAACTGCTGGCAATTAAAACATCTCGTAACTATAGTGTAGTCCCGGACGGCACAAGAGGTCCAATTTATAAAAAGTCGACCTTGGCCTAGCAAAATTTTACGTATGCTTGGTGGCACCTCTAGCACGTAATTACAGGTCGAGAGATTTTTCTTGCCCGATTTATGGCTAAGTTTTATGGTAGCCAATGTGGGCTCACGTGGGGAATTGGGCATTTTATCGGAGAGGTTTTGCTCGTAGATACAGTCTAGAACTTCCTTTTCTGATAACGCTGAGGGTACACCAATCACGGCAATCTTCGGTCGTCGTTTCGCCGGCTCCTGTACAGTGAGGCCCGATGAAACTAATTTCTCTGCATTTTTTAGTTTATCAATGTCCGCTTTATTTTCGGTGCTTATTATAACACCACCATCTCGAATTTTCCTCACACTACGAACATGCAACTTCATGACTTCAGGCGAGATAATTTTTTGAACGAGTGATTTAGTGTCGTCACTTGTTTTGGTCTTGTCACTAGGATAGATAGCCACAGAGCTCAAGTTTTGTGGCCGCACATAGTTATCTGCACCCTTTTTCACGACATTTGCATATGAACTAGTTTCATTTGCTTTAAATGAGCTAGAAATTTTGGCTTGGAACTGTTGTAGGGACTGTGCAAGGGTTTGTTGTTCTCTAAGGTTTTGGATAGTAGAGTGCGCTAGAAGTGCTTTTTGTTTCAAGGCCTGATAAGCAACAGCCATCTCAGATGTGCCTTTTAGGGCATTACGGCAAAGGTTTTGCACTTTGGTCTTTTGTTCTGAATTCATCTTCCCGTCTGACACGATAGTACAGACTTCGGCTAGGATAGAGTCCATGTGTCTGGTCCATTTTAAAATATCTTCAGTAGGGATCATATCCCGGAGAAGGATAGGCTCCTCGGAAGCATTAGGTTTGGGCTCAGGAGGAAGAGATTCTTGAGTCGGTGTTGGTGGTGGACTTCGTCTCAGCAGCTGGCTACGGCTAAACGGGCTGGTGCCTGGATTAGACATTTTCCACCCACAGAACACAATATTCTTTAATATAGTCTTGTTTTATTTCATTTTTGTACGAATATACGTATAACACTTGAATTGTTCCACAACAAGCACTTCATTAAGTTCTAATTTGCTTAAACTGCATAAAACAATTTAAAGTTATTGATTTAATTTCATACTATGGAGAAAGTGAACACGTCCGCGTAATAAAGCGACGCACCGCGTAATTCATGATAATTTATGATAATTATATAAAACAGTGGTTTGTGTAGTGTCCCTGAAGATATCCCTCTTCAGCCAGATTGGTAGTAGTCGTGAAGTTTAGTGCTAACAAATAACTATTAAGTTGTTTTATCGTTGTTGGTTATTTTATAAAGCATGGTTAACTTAATATTTCTACACCAGCAATGGTAGTGCATGTGAAACAATATTTAATGTAAAACCTCAATTTACCATATGTATGTACTCGGAAATAAATAACATTCTATTGTATTCTATTCGTGAGGAAACCTGGTGGCTTACTCTTGAATCCAATTCCGATCGATCGACATTGGTATTGTGAAATTTCGTACTCGCGAGTTGCAACACTAGCGCCTATTGCATCCGTATTGCGTGGATATTTAATGAACTAAATGGTACTGAGTTGGGCTTCATATTCCGTACTCTGAATGCTATTTCAACAGCTACGAAAGGGGTTGTACAGTTTTGACATTGAATCATTTTTGAGATTTTATTGGATTGAAATTGCAATGCTATTGAGATTGGTGTAAAGAGTAAGCACCCCTGGCTTATAATTTCTAATTATAAGTTTCAAATCGCCAACCCGCATTGAGCAAGCGTGGTGAATAATGCTCAAACCTTCTCCTTGTGAGAAGAGACTTTGCTCAGCAGTAGGCACTTATAGGCTGTGGATGATGATGATATACAGTGTGAGTCTTTATAAAGTGCACATATTGAAAAGGGTGAAGAAATAAACAATTTTATCGACGGAAAAAATGTCAAAAAGAATCTAAAAAAAACATTGAATTTTTTATGGGCTTTTAAATTTTTTTATCTCGGTACATTTTTTCGATAAATTTTACATTTATTGCAAACAATAGTAGAAAAATAGTAACTTAAAAAAAAAATCATCAATTATTAATTAATATGGCTTATTTTTCAAAAAAATATGGCTTCATTAGCTAGGCTTATTATTATTTTTGTTTAGTTTTAATATCTTATTTAGTTTAAAAGTAGTGACAGTTTATTTGCATGAGGTGCCAAGACGAGATAAAAAAAAATTAAAAGCCCATAAAATATTCAATTTTTTTTAGATTTTTTTTTGACATTTTTCCGTCGGTAAAATTGTTTATTTTTTCACCCTTTTCAATATGTGCACTTTATAAAGACTCACACTGTATTATATTCTATAATTATAACAAAAAATATTTTTTTGATAGATAGAAAAAAAGAAATAAAACACATTTATTCGACATATAGGCACACAAATATAAAGTAGGTATATATACCTAAAAACAAAATGAAAATACAGATATTTATTTATACTTCTCTATGATAGTGATACGGACGAATACTTTGACGCCTAAATTAAGGGTATAATTTTTGTTGTTTCCTTTTTACTTTCATTTTATTTTATAGTTTAGTTGTAGTTAATTTTAAGTTGTAAATATTTATGTAATTATAAACAATATAATATATCTTATTTCTTTATAAAACACTCCTTTTGCAAATGAAACAATATCATATCTATGGTAGAGAGAGATTTTCTTAATAGAAAATAATAAAATAAACTTATAAGGCTAATGGTAAGAACAAAACAATAACAAATAATAACAAAGCATGCACAATACAACAAAAACACTTATGTGGTTTAGTCTGCTTACCCTAGAATAGGGTAGATGACTAATTTTTATTCTAGTAGATTATCTTAAATCATTAGACACGTATTCTTTATTTTTTTACCGAAACGAATACTTTCGACGATATATTGATTTGAAATGTCGCGTGACGTCACTTCTATGTACATTTTATTTATACGTAGAAATGACGTTTTAGCCCCCACTCCTAAACTTTGATTCGTTATATCTAAGTATCATTTTATTATACGACAAAATAAAAAATACGTGTCTAATATTTTTTCATTACCTAACTGACGGACTTATTCGATTTTTAATTTTCATACCCTGTCATCATCCCTATTATACCTATACATACAATGTCTATACATGGTGTTCTCATAACTTCCAGGTGGCTGGTTGGGGATACATATCACCAGATGGGAGGAATCAAGAAGTTCTAAAAGTTGTTGACTTGCCATACGTACCTCTCCCACAGTGTAGGAAGATGACTCCGGATAACTTCAGGGAATTCCTTGGGACGGACAAGATCTGTGCTGGTTTTGATAACGGTATATTTATTAACTTTTTTTATAATATTGCCAAAGAAGAAAAAAAATATATTTTTTAAATTACACTACCTACTCTTACGCTCTTTCAACCGCTTTGCTCGGCTCCTATTAATTGCAGCGTGGTGTTTCGTACTCTATAGTCTTCCTCTATAAATGCACTATCCAACAGAAAAAGAATTATTCAAATCAGTCCAGTAGTTACGGAGATAATTTTTCTTGAGTTGCAACACTAGCGCCTATTGCATCCGTATTGCGTGAATATTTCATGAACGAAAAGGCAATACCTTTTAGTTGATATACATTTAGTATGATATAGTACTTTGGCTTTATATTCCGTACTCTGAATGCTACTTTAACAGGTACGATAGGGTTGTATAGTTTTGACATTGTATAATCATTGAGATTTTATTCGATTGAAATTCCATTGACATTGAGATTGGTTTAAAGAGTAAGCACCTAGTTATAATCATGCATAACCGCTAGGTAACACGCTAGTGTATGGCCTCCTTAAGCACAGGGTCCTCCTCCTGCGGACGGCGAGCACGGGTCGTTGGTTCTGAGAATGATAGCGACCAATAACGGGCGATAATAGGATCGAGCCAACTTTGAAAGTTCGAATTAACAGGTTGAGATACTGGGGAAAATTTGAATAGGGTGACACTACCTTGTTGGCCGAGTTGTCGCAAGTGTGACTGCCGAGCAAGGGGTCTCGGGTTCGATTCCTGAGTCGGGCAAAGTATTACATGGGACTCATAACATAAATAGTGAAAAGTGGGTGTTACATTGTACAGAGGCATAATGTGCACCTCTGCCTACCCCTTCGGGAATAAAAGGCGTGATGTTATGTTATGGTAACATTTTATTAAAAACTTATATATCCTTCTAGGTACTGCAACACTGTGCAAAGGTGATAGTGGGGGCAGCTTGGCGTTCCCAGAAAATGAACATGTTGTACTGCGGTTTTATTTAAGAGGGATTGTATCCAGTGCACCTAGATCTGAGGATAATTCACTATGCGACCGTAACGCGGTAATAGCATTTACCAAAATAAACAGCTATAAAAATTTCATTCAAAAGAATATCTATTTTTAATTCACATAAAAAATGTACCGTTGGAAAAACATAGATGGCGTTGTTCTACATTACGGTGTTTACACTGGTCTGTAATAGATGGCGGTAATTCAATAATTGTTTTGTTAATGAAAATAAATTATTTTTAATAAAGTACCTATTGTTTATTATTTTCTTTGCATAATGTAAGCAAATACAATAAAATTGACTAATGTTACAACATTAGATAATATAAAATAAAAATAAAGTGAAAATTACAAATCCCAGCCGTAGCCTATCTCCCTCTCTTCTTACCTATAATCCACCAGAACCTAGCATTCATTTCTATACATACGTGTTAGTGCTAGTAATACTTTATTTGTACATTATGATTGTTAACTTGACTCAGTGGCTATAGAAATTACATCTTGAAGTATATCGTTATATCTTATATATCAGCTATATATAGATATACGTATATGCCACCGCCAATGGAACTTTGAGTGAGCATGACAACTCCAAGCTGACATAAATGCTTTCTACTAGTCTCATTTAATTAAATTAATTACTGAGCTCTCACATTTAGTTTTTCGCAATACAAATATTTAAGCAACATGATTATAGATTATCTATAGATAGATAGAACATAAATAGAATTCCTTGAACATCACTGTGTTTCATGTATTATTCTGCGGAGACGGACCAGCTTACTTACTCTTGAAACCAATCTCAATGTCAATGCAATTTCAATCCAATAAAATCTCAATAATTATTTAATGTCAAGACTATACAACCCAAATCGTAGCTGTTAAAATAGCATTCAGAGTACATATTAGTCATATTACAAAGCCGAAATCAATACCATTTAGTTCATTCAATATCCACGCAATACGAATGCAATGGGCGCTAGTGTTGTAACATGTGAGAGGGAAGCCGTGGCCTATCCTCCTCTCAGAGGGCTTACTCTTGAATCCAATTCCGATCGATCGACATTGGTATTATGAAATTTCGTACTCTTGAGTTGTAACATTAGCGCCCATTGCATCCGTATTGCGTGGATATTGAATGAACTAAATAGTATTGAGTTTGGCTTTATATTCCGTACTCTGAATGCTATTTCAACCGCTACGATAGGGGTTGTATAGTTTTGACATTGAATAATTATTGAGATTTTATTGGATTAAAATTGTATTGGCATTGAGATTGGTTTCAAGAGTAAGCACTCTGTTCAGCACTTTGTACATTAGGATTGTTAGCTTCCCTCAGTGGCTGTAGAAACACTGCGCTACATCTAAAAGTATTTTAGTCCATTGTAATACAATAAAAAACTTTAAATAATTATACATCAACTACCATAATGGTCTATATCAGAAGTCATAAAATTATGTATTTAAAATACTAGTTTCGTCTGCTTTGTTGAGAACGAGTCTGGCGCAGATGGAGGCCGTAGCCTATCTCCCGATCCGCGCCAGATACTGCCCTTCATTAGACTGCCGTGTTAAGCCGAGGCACCAGTGATCATACGCTAATATCTAGTCTGGAAGACGTTAGTTCAAAATACGATTTACTCACGCAAATAACTGGGAAATAGTCTACTAGGTACTTCAGTCACAAATGGACCCTTTCTTATGAGCAGCGTGCGAGGACACGACGTCGCGCAATCTACCGCGTGAATAAGCCGATATTTCCAATTAATTTGTGTTAAACAATACTACATATATTAAAATCCTACATTATTCTAGTTTCTATAATACAATATGCAGTGATGTTTTATTGTAATAACAATATAGCTATGATAAGAAAAAATTGGCTAATGTTACAACATTTGATAAAAGCCAATAAATAGAAAAGAAAGTGAAAATCACAAATCTACAACATTTATTTGTGTTAGGGGAGGCCGTAGCCTATCTCCCTCTCCGCATCAACTTTTTAAACTCCACCATAACCTAGCATTCATTTCTATACTTACATGTTAGTGCTGGAAAAACCGAACAAAAATAACCTAGGCATAGAAATATGCGAGAGAGAACGCCACAAAAGACGCCTCATTTTACGAATGCATGCATCCTACAATGACGATACGCGGCCTACAATTGCCGCTTCTTGGACAGTTGTTTCAAGCAAGGTGCAAGCATTTGATATAGATTTGTTTCATTTATAGGTTTTTTTTAAACCGTTAAACGAGCAGACGGATCACCTGATGGTAAGTAATCGGCGTCGCCCACGGCCGAGCCCACTCCGGTCGAGCCGGCCCATTCGTGCCGAAGCAATTAAAGGTTGGATGGGGAAGGTTGCATGCATTCGTCAAATGACGCGTTGTAGGCTGTAAGGTCTTAGGGCCCCATGTGAGAGGGAAGCCGTAGCCTATTTCCCTCTCCTCGTCAGCTGCTTACATTTTGCCATATCCTAGCATTCATTTCCATACATACGTGTTAGTGCTAGACACAATAGACTGATATAATTCTCCATCTTACCTTATCCTCTATCTTAATTACATCTTCTACACCGCACACAACAATTTTTGTTCCGTCTTCTCTAAATTCATTCGATTTTTCATCATAAAAATTACGAATACAAAAAATATGTCAATCTAGCGCGGGGCCCGTATTAGATATAATGAGGGGCTCTTGTTCTTGCTCATGATGGAAGCACGGATTCACTCGTGACTAGAAAATATAGACAATAACCAACACACGTAGGTACTCGTCGCCCCTTCAATTTTCCTACGAGTCCCTCTTGGTTGCACTACCGCGAATTATACAATTATATTATCTGACATCGTCTTGTAATAAAGTAAAGATAATTTCTATTGGGCGGGCTAGAAGAAGCATTCTCCATAATACATAATCTCAGAACCAATCGATCTACATAACATAACATCACGCCTTTTATCCCCGAAGGGGTAGGCAGAGGTGCACACAGAAGTAACACCCACTTTTCACTATTTATGTTATGAGTCCCATGTAGGGGGTGAGCCTATTGCCATATAGGTACCGGGCACATTTCCAGGCTCCGTGTTACTACTGAGGATTTTTTAAAAACCCAGTAATACTTTGCCCAACCCGGGAATCGAAGCCGAGACCCCTTGCCCGGCAGTCGCACTTGCGACCACTCGGTCAACGTAAGTCAAGTTAATAATCAATCAAAAAGTCAATCGATCTAGTTAATACAAATACAAATCCTAACTTCCTTACTAATATTATAGATTGGAAAGTGAGTTTGTTTGGTTGTTTGTTTGTTTGTTTGTTCCGCTTTCACGCCGTAACTACTAAACCGATTGCTTTGAATTTTTGCAGACGTAAAGTTAGAAGTCTGGATTAAACTACCAAATGAAGTTAGACAAGAAATAATGTCTCTAAAAAATACGAACGCGTCCGGATATGATGAGCTGGGTACAAAATTAATAAAATCATGCAAGGATGTGTTAGTTGAAATCCTTACGTATCTGATAAATTTATCATTCTCGCAAGCGATTTTCCCAGCTGCGCTTAAACTATCGACCGTAAAACCATTGTTCAAAAAAGGAGAACGAAACAACATAAATAATTATCGTCCTATAACCCTGATACCTATACTGTCCAAGGTATACGAAAAATGTATGTACAAACGTCTAGTGAATTTCTGTGACAAATACAATATCATTCAAAAAGATCAATATGGATTTCAAAAACAAAAATCTACCACTCTAGCCATTTATAGTACCATAAGCACAATTCTAACAAACTTAAACAATAATTATCTGACCACTGGCTTGTTTTTTGATCTATCAAAAGCCTTTGATCTCGTTTCACATGACATATTGTTAAACAAAATTGAAAAATATGGGATAAGAGGTCCTACTTATCACTGGATAGCTTCATACCTTAGCGACAGACAACAATGTGTAACAATATCAAAAATTGATGAAAATATGATACTTACACCATCAATATCAGAATACAAAAATGTCAGGCGTGGTGTACCGCAAGGTAGCGTGCTGGGGCCTATTTTATTCCTGTTGTACATAAACGATGTCGTAAATATCACCAACCATAAATGTGTTCTTTTTGCTGACGACATATCGATTATAGTCGCAACGCGTAAGAACGGAAACACAACAAATGACCACGCGCTTGATGTTAACAACACAATAGATAAATTAATAGATTGGTTAGATAATAATAAATTAAAAATAAATTTGGACAAGTCAGTTTACATACAATTCAATAAATCAAAAAAACTACCCCCGGACGTCGGCGCGAGTAGACGTGTTTCAAATAGCTCCGTGTTTAAAATTAAGAAAAAAATAATGTTTACATTGATTTAAAGTGGATTCTGACTATGTAATAGGGTTAAGAAACCAGTGATAAATGCTGAGTGATAAACTAATAGAATAATAATAAAACATAGTGACGTAAAAGTGGATTAAAATTGAATCGTAAATCGTCAAGTTGTGAAAGTGTAATTAAAATTGCTCAAACAGTTATCCTAAATAAATAATGCTTAAATTGTGGTGTACACGGTAAATACTACATAAAAAAGTGATAAACCGCTTAACTATGTGGAAAAAAAAACTTAAGTGATAAAAAACAGTGATTGTAAACACAAAGGAAATTCAAAATTAAACCGTTGAGACCTGACACAAGTATTAATAGCTGCTAGTTGCTTTATATTTCATATAATTTTCTAATGTTTACATGGCAGAGTGGCAACTGCATACGCATTAAGTGACGAGCGCGTTGCGTTCGAACCCCGCTATATGCATTTGGCTTTTTGGAAGTTTTTGTGTTTGCATGTTTCACTAATATAGTATTAAATTAATAGTTTTAATACAAAAATGAATTTCTTCGAAAATATCACATTACGCCGAACTCGTACAAAATCATTGTCAGAGAAGACAGGGAATGACATTAGTTATAGCGATGCAAAACTAGACGGCACCACTAGTAGCATGCCGGAGATATCGGATGACGAGGACAGCGATAAAATACAAGATCTCCAGCGGGAAGTGGAAGAACTAAAACTACAACTTGCGGCAGCCCATAACGAAATAAACAACTTATCAATGGAAAATACCGAGTTAAAGCAGACCATCCATACCTTAAATAATAAATATCAACTGGTGAAGGGAGCAACAAAAAAACTGTCAAGTGAAATTGGAACACCTAGAAAGAATG